GGCTGAAAAATCTCCAAGTCTGGATGAAATTGGAGGTAGTTTGAGGATTAAATTTTTATGTTTTTTAAGCTCAAAAAAGGGGGGGGTGTCGTATTATACATGAGGTCGTATTATACACGAATAAATACGGTAAATGGAGAAAAATTCCCTTTTAAGTTTAAAGACTGTGTGTGTGCATGCGTGTGTGTGTGTGTGTGTGTGTGTGTGTGTGTGTGTGTGTGTGTGTGTGTGTTCAGGGCTGCAGAGCTGATGACGAGGACGGGTTCAGTCGTGACCCTGGAGGTCGCCAAACAGGGAGCCATTTACCACGGACTGGCGACGCTCCTCAACCAGCCGAGCCCCATGATGCAACGAGGTGAGCGTGTTTTTTATACCCTGCGACACACCTTTACACTTCCCCACTCTGAAATATAAATTATGATTCTTTTTTATTTAGCTCCCAGGGTTCATCTTGACTTACGTCTTAAAAGGTTTCTCACTTTTTTTTGTGCATTCTTTAAAAAGTAGCTGAAGTTGAAGCGCAGACACAAAACAGTTAATCAAACAGGTTAAAACTCATTTTAAAGTGGAAGCTGTGGTGAGTGTGCTGCTGTTTGCTCCACTGTTGTCGGTAATTTAAAGTTGTGTATGATGGAAGAGAAGCAGACGTGTCCAGACACTGTGTCATTGTTGTCTTCAGTAGGAATCCAGCTCGCACTTTGAACGATATAATGAGGGCTTGTAACACACACACACACAGACACACACACATACACACGTTACAGAGGTGACGAGCTCGTCTGGCTCTGAGCTGGTCTTTGTTGGCTGGAATGTGACCCCGGGTTCATTCAGGAAGTCTTCTGGTCTGGCCAGACTTGGGTTTCAGGAGGACGATGAAGGGCTGTTTCTTCACCGCAGCCTTTAGCAGAACTGACAGAGAAATTTAAAAATCACAAAGTGACAGAGATTCTTTGTGGAAAGAGACCGGGCTGAATGGGTCAGGATCTGTTCTAGCTGCTGGGCTGAAATCCAGTCAGCAGCATTTCTGAGCCTGTGGCATCTATTTCCAGTTTAATTATACAAAATCGACAAATGATTCTATTAAATAAATACAAAATAACACAAACTGCTTTTACACACAGTGACTACTGTATGTCATTGTCGATTTTATTTATATAGCACATAAAAACAACAGAAGTTGACCAAAGTGCTTCACAATTTAGCCAAACGAATAAAACAATTGAGCAACACATACA